TATTTAAAATCACATTTTTTCTATGTATTATATTTTATTATCTACTTCTAATAATGTCCCCTAAGAAATATCTCAATAATTAAAATTTTAAATTTCAATATTAAAAATTTTATGTTGAATTATGAAAGGAGTTTAAAAAAGAAAAAAATTATAGCTTACCATATAGTCCTCGTTAGATATACAGGGAAAATTTCTAGTAATAATTTTTTTCCTACTTTTAAACAACAAATACATCCACCTCCATATATAAAAGACAGGAAGGGAGATGGAATGGGGGAGAAAGCCCCTTCCAGTTCCGTATTTTAAGCCCCTTCCAGTTCCGTATTTTAAGCCCCTTCCAGTTCCCTATTTTAAGCCCCTTCCAGTTCGTGCTGCTTGCGATATATTTGGGCTCGTCGCTTGGGCCCATTTCTTTGGGCCTTTAGCCTTAGTTACATTTGTCTAATGTAAATTTTATTTTTGTTAGGGAAAAGAGGATGTGAAAATTTTGCTTGCCAACCAACTATAATTTTTTTTTGGTATGTCCAATAATAGACTATATAATAAAAAATAATTCTTTATTTTTTTTAAATCCCTATTCACTTAATTTAAATTTTAAATTTGAAATCACTAATTTATAATCTTAAATTCTTAATCAATTAATCCATCCAAGCAACACAAACATCAAACCAACAAATTCTTCCTCACAGGTTTGCCAAGGACTTGGAGCCTAAGTTAGTTTGCCTTTTTTGAGTCAATTCTGGTTTTGATTGGAATTTGTTTTTAATTCGTTCAACTTAGATTTAGTTGTCTCTAACCCATTGTAAACTCGCTGACCTTTAAAAAGCCTTACGATAAGTTCAAAAAGGATGGCCAAAAAAGGTAATGAAACTATTTTACAGCATAATAGGCTGAATAATATATCTTGCAGCCAGTGCTAACTAAAATTTGCAATAAACAATTATTTAGAGGAAGCTGCTGCTGATGCTTCCTGCTTCGTTAAGGAAAATTGGTTTTCAGAATAAACTTAATGTTGAAGTTGTAAATTTACGTTGACTTTGAGGTTAGAACTGCTCCCTGGCAATCTATTGTTTCAGTTACCAACAACCGTTTATTTGTAACACTGATTTTCTGACTTTTTTTATTTGCCATCAGCCATGTTGTTATGATTTGTCTTCATTTTCTCAATTAAATTTGTTGCAGGGAAGAAAAAGATGTTGATCAGGCCAAAGCTGCAGCCGGATTTAGCAAGAGCAATCAATTTTTTTTTTTTTTTGCACAGCAAAGGAATTATGTATATATATTTAAATAAGGGAGTACAAGGGTACTCCAACAACAGTGGAACAAGATAAGAGCATTAATAATATTCTATGAGGTCACACACGTCAAGCCAACACCCATTTCAGCACAATGTCAGTTATTTTCTTCGTTTGTCCTTCAAGCATTGCACAGGTCCAGGATCCAATTGCAAATATTAAAAGAGTACCCACATGATCTGCTTTTAATCCATTGGAATGTCCTCAGTTGGACAAGTTCAAAAATTCTACTTGCATCCTGGTCATGATTTTTGAAGGACTTTTCATTCCTAGCAATCCATAAAGATAAGATAATTGCAAACCATACTGCATCCCATCCTATCTTGATTTTTACATCATTAAAGGAAACCAAGTGTTGCTCGAATGATGCCAAACAATTATCTGCTTCTACCCATGTAATCCTCCACCATTGAAAACATTTGGATCACACTAAATATGCAGTAATCAATTAGCGGCATAAGATGTGAGAGGCCCCTTTAAGGTGTAAGCAGGTCCTTCCATGTATGTGTTCTCAAGTAGTTAGGTTATTTTCTATCAATGTTGATTCACGTAAAAATTGAAGCATACCAATAAAAGTTTAGTCAAATTGATACCTATCAATTTAAAATTTTTTATTTAAGATTAAAATTAAAGATTTAAATCCTTGTAATGCTAAGTAGTTAAGATATACAAAAAAATAAAAATAAAAATTGAAGCATGGAAAATTAAAATTCATAAAAATTGAAGTTATTTATATAAAAATTTGAAGCATAGAAAGCCAACACACTTCACATGATAAACGACAGCATTTAATTTTTAGAGGTGGTATCAAAACATAAGGAAGGAATTTTATTCTCAACAGTAATGTTATCAGCCTTGCAGGATATTCAAAAACAAGAATCACCAGCTTTTTTTTGGTCTAGGATTGCAATAAATGATAGACGGACTCTCCGTATTTCCACAGGTGGAATACATACTAAGGAAATCATTTCCATCCGACTCAAAATCCCCAGGGGTGTATACATACGGGACTTGCAGAAAATCAAGTTTCCTCGAAAATATTTTCCAGGTTTTTTTCTTGCCTTCTTGACCTACGACTCCTTAGAAATATTCATGAACTTTGCAACAGCTTGTATAAAATAAATTACACACCAACACCATATTTGTTTTTTACCAATAAAAAAAAAAACATGGTGTTGGTGTGTAGTTTTTTTTATACAAGCTGTTGCAAAGTTCATGGATATTTCTAAGGAGTGGTAGGTCAAGAAGGCAAGACAAAAACCTGGAAAATATTTTCCAGGAAACTTGATTTTCTGCGAGTCCCGTATGTATACACCCCTGGGGATTTTGAGTAGGGTGGAAATGGTTTCCAGGTTTTTGTCTTGCCTTCTTGATCTACCACTCCTTAGAAATATCCCATGAACTTTGCAACAGCCTGTAAAAAATAAATTACACACGAACACCATGTTATATATATGTATCTAGTAATATATATTTCTTATGACAGAGGTGCTTTTAAACATAAAAATTTATATATACCTTTCTACTCATCAACAGCTTCTGAGTGCAAATTGAGGCAATAATTGGGGTTTTCTTAATCCATTTTTCAGTCAGATCTAAGCAAAGTTAATGTTAACGTAAAAATAGAGTAGATGGTGTGAGACCAAGATCTTTATTGATAGAGAGTGTTTACCATAGAGGGAGAATGATAGTGGAAAATAATCTCCTTCCCTAGGTTGATCCTAGAGGTATTTATAGGATGCTTAAATACAGTTATTCTAGGAATATAATTTTATTTAATTGGTGTTTGGGTATTCTTATCCTATCAGGATTTATTCTATCCTTACATTGATAGGATTATCTCTAAATTGTCTACACGTGTCCTAATTATCATAGGACTTGCTTTTAGGGTATAACAATTAAGAAAAAAAATATAAAAAAGAGATTGTTTGATTTTAAGAAGGCAAAATAAAAACCTAGAAAACTTTTTCCAGCAAACCTGATTTCCTGCAAGTTCCCATATGTACAACCCACTGGGGATTTTGAGTCGCGGAAATGGTTTCCTTTTTACACATTCCACCCGTGGTAATACGGCGAATCCTTGCCGTGCCTATATCATTTGTTGCAGGCAATATTCCAAAAAGACAAAAGCTGGTGATTCTTGTTTTTGAACTCCATTTTTCTTGGAGAGGTTTTGGGAAGAAAAATAAGTCAGGAAAATGTGCTTTGCCATGCGGAAGTGATGGAAAAATATAGGAATGAAAGCAAGGTAGGAATGGGTGAAGGAGAAAAAGGAATATAATTTAGAGATAATTTTTTTTTTTACAATTTTATATTTTATTTAAATAAATAATAATTTTTTATTTAATTAAAAATAAAAATAGGTTAAATCCTCAATTTGATTCCTGAACTATTGTATAGACCACAATTTAGTTTCTAAACTAAAAAAGTCTCTGATTGAGTCTTTAAATTATTGTACGAACACCGATTTGATCCCTAAACTATTATACGGACTCTCGATTTGGTCCTTATTATTCATCAATTTACTCCAAATTGGTCTTTCTGTGTAAAAACCAAAACTGACATATTTTGTTATTAACGTGATACATAGCCATTAAGTTATTATTTTTTGCCGTTAAGTAACACATACATCAGTTTTTTTTTTTTTTTTTTGTATGAAAAAACCAATTTGAGATAAATTAGTAAACAATAAAGATCAAATTGGGATCTGTATAATAGTTTAGGGACCAAATCAAAGGTCCATGCAATAGTTTAGAGATCAATTTAAGAATTTAACCATAAAAATATTATGTGTATTTATTTATTTAATAACATTTAAAATTTATATAAAAAATTGTATAAAAAAAGTCTTATATGTATTCATTATCGGGAGGAATAATGAGGAGGCATGTCGAGGAAAAGTCTAAAAAGTAGAAAAATGATTCTCAAGTTTTTGAAGAAAAAAACCCCTAAAGCCGACAAAGGTATGGTAGTTATTCTTATATGATCAACATCGCGCGACCTAATTCTTTAGTGAGTAACCAGTCTTTTAAACCCAATGGTTCGATCACAAACTTTAAGTGTTAGGGTGAAGTGGTCGGAGTTTTAAACTCCACCACCGTCGTGAAATCCACCAAAAAGCGATTTGATGATCACGCGTCTCATTTGAGGGGATGAAATTTTCACCCGATCTTAGAACCAGTTGCTAACAACCTGATTTGGGTGAGGTGGTCGGAGTTTTGAGTTCCACCACCATCGTGAAATCTACCAAAAAGCGATCTGATGACCACGCGCCTCATTTGAGGGGATGGAATGTTCGCTCGGTCTGAGGACCAATTGCTAACAACTAATTTATACTAACTTTCTAACCATTACCTTGTAAAAAATATATATATCTTAAAAAAAAATTTCTTTACTGAGACCGCTATCCGCTATCTACAATCAGCGCGGGTGCAACACTGAGTGCACGCGCACTCTTTTCTTCATTAATTCTCTCTCTCCCCCTCTCTTAATTTGTTTGAAGGTGAATTTAAAGAGTATAAATT